ACAAATGCATAATTTTTACAGACAATCATTATCAATTGATTCTATCATTCATTTTAGGCAGATGATTACGATGATAAAGAAGCATATAGTCAAGAGGATGAAATTGATGGCGCTGTTTTTGATAGAACAACTAAGGTTCCTTTTTTTTTTTTAATTAAATTAATTATAATGAAATTACAGTAGTTTATTACAAAGTTACTGTAATTTATTACAGTAATATTTGATTTATTTCTGTTATCATTGAATATTTCATGCAGTACTGTTAATCAGACGGAATTACGTATAAATATATTGAAATAAATATGACTGATCATGTTAAATGAATGATTAAATTAGTTAAATTTTATTCTATTGAGAATAATTTGGATTTTGATAAGTAACTATTTGCTGTATTAATAAAAGAATATATTAATAGTCTAACGTAGAGCGGTATATTTAGGTGAGTTTGCAAGAAACTGAAATGATATATTGTCATTAAAGGTGACATTTAAACATTGATAATAACCCAATAATAATCAGCCTTATTAAATTGATGAAAAATTCATTATATATATGAATATTTCATTTTCTACAGTAATACTTGATTTTTTACAGTAGTATTTGATTTTTTACAGTAATACCTGATTTTTTTTTTTTTAATATTTGATTTTTTGCAGCAGTATTTAATTTTTATTTTAAATAATGATAAAATGTCTAGTTTGAATTGATGAAAAAGTTAGTGTTCAATTAAATGGAATTAAAATTTTACAGCTTTCTACACGACATGATTTCATGCCAGCAGAATATGGACATGGTGGAGTGGAACGAAGACGTAATGAAATGTCAACTATGACTAAATCACATGAGACAAGTTACTATTAGATATGGATGATGTCCTCTGCTAATTTGCAAAATCATGAGTTATTTTTATAGAAATTTGTTTTTAGTTTATAAATATTAAATGGAATAACTTTTAATTTGATGAAAAATTTTGTCAAATAATCACAGCATGTCATAATAATAATAAGTAATAAATAATAATGAGTAATAAATAAATAATTAAGAATAAATAAATGATAAATTAAAAATAATAACAAGTAATAAACAATAAATAGTCGATAATAAATAGTAATAAAAAACAATAAAAAATACCAATAATAATGATTGGAAGATCATTTCTGATAATACTAATGATAATAATAATGAAAGATAATAATAACAAATAATATTATTATTATTATTATTGTTAAATTTATAACGAAATCGATATAAATTTTTTATCTTTATTTTTTTTCTAAATTTTTTTTTATTGCGCATTTATCTCTATCTTTCCATTGAAAATTCATTTGTTCTTATGTGATCTTTGTATGAACGCTTTTGAGCTATTTTCTGTACCAATCAAACAAAAATTATTTCCAACAAAAAAAAGTTTATCTTTCCGGAAAAAAAATATGCAAAAAAATGAGAAACTATTAGGATTAACAAATTTTGCAGAAATTTTAATTTCATTTATTTTTTTTTCTAATTTGAACAATTTTTATATCATAATGAATAAAATGAATTTCATACTGCCTGCCATTTTATTATGATTCCGATTATCATTTAATAATTCCGATGCTTTCGCTTGCTTTTTTTTTTTTTTTTTGGTATTTTTCTTGTTTATGAAAATGATTGACTAAATTTTAATTTTGTTCAATTTTTATAAAATTTTTAAATAATTAATAAGAACTTATTTACTCTTTGCATTGTTTGCATCATTCTCTGAACGAAATGTTTGTTTTTTTTTATTGCTTCCATTTTCTATCTTTCCTGCTGCCATATTATTTTTATTTCTTTCCAAATTATCTTCAATCTGCCTAATTCTGCTCACTTCAAATGAAATGATATTTACTCAAATTGTTAAAATACGTGAGACAATATAAAAGTAAACGTAAGTTTTGCTGCAATCTTTTTGACATATTTTTCAAGTTTCAGTACACGTAACTTTAACTATCTATTTATATCATTGCCTCACGTGTTTCTATGTAAACAAAAGTTTTATGCGTCAATTTCAGTTATCAAACAGTAGATGTACTCATTTAAAAATGAGTTATTAGTAATAAAAAATGAAATTTTGTAGAATTTTGAAAACAATATCTAAAATTTGTTTATGTTTTTACTGCCTAATTTGTGCCAAGTAAATTTTATTTATGTTATTTTAAATTCTCTTTCAATATCATTTCTTCGCTTGTAATTTCGAATGAAATACTTGAAATTTGTTAAACTCTAATCAAGCGCTTGTCAAATTACGATATAACTGCCCGATTGTTTTGTTTATCTGATATTATTAATAAATAATGGTCTATTTATGTGTCTTTGTAATCATTGATAAATTTAAGGATTAAAGAAAATTTCCTGATTAGGAAGAAATTTTCAGTTTCAGTTTATTTCCCTGGATTATAAATTTTTTCCTCAATTATTATATTGTTTAATAATGATATAACCGTATGCTATAAATAAAATACTAATAATTCATCATTCCGGAAAATGATCGCAAATAAACGGATGAATAAGATGAACGAATAAAAAATGAAAAATAAGTGATATAAATGAAATTTTAAATATTTCAAGAAATACTTCAAAAGAATTGATTAATACAATTTAAAATCTTTTCCGGCCACAACAATGTCACATCATCTAACTTATGTTGACATAAGCTAATGGGACGGACAACAGGTATTTATACCTGTGATAGAGAGCAGAATTTAGTGGAACCTGTCACTTCATCGGAATTATTTAAATAATCCATCGATTGAATGGGTGACAACTTTCTTATTCTGTCTTCTCTGTCACAAATACAAACTGTCTCCTCTCAATATGCAAACTATTCCACCAAGCTAATTTCTAAATTTATCGTTGATATTTGCTCATTTCATTTAGTATGGAAAAATTCATTTACCTGTTCAAATTATTAGCATTTATAGTTATGTCAAAAGTTTTTTTCATTTTTCTTTCAACTTTTTTTCGTTTATTAATTTATGGTTTGATTAGCAAAATTATAAAAAATTACAACTATTTTTAAAATTAACATATGTTACTTATTTTATAATAATTAAATATAGATAATTAAATCTAAGAATTGGAAAAATGTATTTTTTATTTGTTTAGATCATCAAATTTGGCATATGATTAATAAATTTTTGATGAATTTATAATTGCACAATAAAAAAAAAAATTATATTTTATGTTAACATTAAGTAAAAGTTTCATATGTTACGTCAATTTATACAATAATAATAGCAATAATAATAGTAATGATTTTATAATAATAATAATAATAATAATAATAATTTGTAATAACATTAATAGTAATAAACAATTTTTTTTTTCCTTTATAACTCAAAAAAAAAGAAAACTTCTATCTCTGATCTTTAATCTCATCCTATTAAGATTAATGATTATACTAAATTTGTGTAATTTTATAAAATTTACAAATTTTCATTTTCATTAAATAGTTGCTTACAAATGTCTTTTTTTCCTTTTTCTTATACTTTCTCTAACTTTTTATGATATAAAATTGATAAATATTTGTTGTTTAATTTTTGATTACACATAATGCTGAATCAAATTAACAATCATTAGCAATACTGATCTCTTGTCTTTTTGATTAGCAATGATAAGTAGTTATTATCATTCTGTTATCATTAACGATAACTAAAAAATTTTCTATCATTTTCTTCCTTCTCTCCCTCTTCCCGTCCCTCTCTCTCTCTCTCTCTCTTTACATTTCTTCTTTTTATATCAATCATATCATAATGTCATCATTCTTTATGCATATTTTATATCATATTAACTCTTTTTCTTTCTTTTTTTTACAAACAAAATTAACTTCACGTAACGTCAAATAACGTAAAGTCAAATAAGGCATTGAAAGTGAATACTTTATTAAATTACGTATATTTCATTGATATTTATCTCAACATACGTAATATTTTACACGTATGTTTTGAACGTTTCAAATTAAAAAAAAAAAGGCAATCTACGATGAATCATTGCTAATATTTTTATAATAATAAATTATAAAAAAAATGGTTTATTTTATAACAATTTCATAATTAGTAATTTTTATAAAATTTATAACTTTTCAATCTTGAAAATATGACTCATTTACAGTGGGTAATGTTAAAAAAGTTAATAAAATTATCATTTCTATTCAGGTGTAATTCTTATTTTTACCTGTATACAATTGTTTTTATTTCATTTTATTTGCAATGATTTATTTCTTTTTCTTTTTTTTGGATGATTCATCCATTGTAAAGTTGACTCATTGCAATTTGCATTGGTATATGCATGCCATGCATTATTGATAAAAATGCAAGCAAACAGGTGTGAACTGTGTAGCACACCTGTACACTCTCTCTCCTTCCTTTACATACCTGTTTATTTAGTAAGCTAATCGAAGAAGAATTAAATTAGAAAATGTTTAATTTGCTTGACATTTCTGATCGTTTGTTTACTTTTCATCTCCAAAACTTATTTATCATTTGATATTCTCATTTTGTAGCATTTCATCGACGATATTATGAAAGTAATAATAGCTAAGAATAGAATATTATAACATTTCATTATTTTATTTTAACCACAATTTTATCTTTTATCTTATCTTAATCATAAAATCATTACTAAGCTAATTTAGCATTAATTAATTCTTGCATAATTATTAATTTATGCTATTCCAAAATTTTGCTTCATGATTGATCAGTGGTGATAAATGGTATTTGATAATGAAATTCTTATCATTTGTTCATTTTTCTTCTTAATTGATGCTAATTAGTTAATTTTTTCAATGCAAAATAACAGAGTTATGTAAGTTTATTATTACATTTAGGTATTAATATTTCAAAATGTTATCAAAAATTATTTTTTAAATTTTATTTCAGACTATCAATGAGTAATTTGCCAAATAAATAATATTCTTATTTCGATGATATTACTACTATTAATTAATTATTATTACAAATAAATATTATAAGTAAAGAAGTATGGCAATCAATCCGTGTTTTTGCTGGAACATTAAAGATGGTACAGTCACTGTTGGCTTATGGTCATTGGTCAGTTAATTTTTGTTTATTTTGTCATAGCAAAAAGAAAAAAGTATTAACTTTCATTTTTCCTTTTTTTTTTAACAAATAAAATATAAAATTGCACCTATTTAAATTTCATTCAAATGTTAGCAAATTCATACAATCACTGAAATTTTACATTTAAGAAAATTTTTAATTCTTAATGAATGAGATGTTTTGATTTATTGAAAAATTTTTTCCATTCCAAAAACTCATAACAATCTTTTCTTTTTTATATATTTTTTCAGCTTTAATTTCTTTAATATACAATAAAATAGTATTTAAGTTTCTATTTTATTTATATTAAATTATTATATTAAAATACAAGAAAGTGAAAGCGATAAGGGTTTGAATTTAAAAACTATTAATTTGAATTTTATATTAATAATCAACGAAAGATCGCATTCATAATAATTAATACTAGGATAGAGTTAAGTTAACGTCACGTACGAGTTAACGTCACGTGGGAAATGACATTTGTTCCGTTTCACGCAATCATTCATTTTAAAGGTTTATTCATTGGCATCGTTGGTACTATTCGGCTGGCAATTAAATGTTATCAATTCCTGTCAAACGGTGACAATGTCACAGGCAAATCTTCAATGTGAATATTGGTGCCCATGTGTTGGTGCATCTAATGAACGTACAAGTGCCCTAATACAGGGTACGGTACCACAAAACTGTTTTTTATATTACCGGTAGATAGAGGTGATAATATCCGGAAAGATAGAAATAATAACAAGTATGATAATTTCCGGATATTAGTAGCTGATATAAATATTAAAATTAAATTAATAAAATTCTCTCTTCCATTGTCTTTAATAATCGTTTTATTCTCAAAGATCACTGATATTCATTATTATTTCACGATCATTGTGCAAAGATTGATCTGATAAGATTAAATCTGATAAGATTATCCAGAAATGCATTTATCAAAACTGATAAGATTACTCGAATTATTAGTGGATAACTTAGTTATAAATCCTACTATTTTCTACTGTTATTGAAGAATTTTGAATGCTACAAAGGAAATAAATTATAGCATTTAAATTTTAACTATTATTTAACTTTTTTTTTTACCCGAATCGCTTTTGCTTGCTTTTTTTGCATGAATTCTTCAATTTTATCAATTTTAATTTCTATTCATATTTACTTAAATTTAATTTATTTCTAATTTGCAATATAGTTATTGTCCATTGTAATTCCAAACTTTTTTTTTTTTATGTTAGCTAAATTGCCAGCTGAATAGTTGCCAGTTAAAATGAAGAAAAAACAATTTTGCAAAAAGTTGATAAAATTTGAAAAAGAGTTGAAATTTTATGTCAATTTTATAAATTTTAAAAGAATGAAAATTTTCCAATATTTCATTAAATTCTTTTACTAAATTTATTATTAGTACTTTTCCAAATTACTTAATAAAGTATGACTTTTACTAAATTTATTATTAGTACTTTTCCAAATTACTTAATAAAGTATGAATAACAATTGAAAGAAAGAAAAAAGGAAAGACAGGAAGTGAATATTTTAAATTGGTTTTTAAAAAAATTTCAAACAATTATTATTTTTTAAAACTAATTTTTTTTACCTGAAAAAGTGGAATATTACATATATTCCAGGTATATTGCATTGTACAATTTGCACTATTCAGCTGGCAATCATATGCAATCAAATATTATCGCGACATTACCGCTAATGAATTAATACCTGGTCATAATACCTATGCTGCTTACAACATTCCCTCATATTTCGAGAATTATTACAGTACTTCTCAAACAATTTTCTATACCGGTATAATTTTCATGACCATTTTCTATACCGGTATAATTTTGATGACAATTTTCTATACCGGTATAATTTTGATGACAATTTTCTATACCGGTATAATTTTGATGACAATTTTCTATACCGGTATAATTTTGATGACAATTTTCTATACCGGTATAATTTTGATGACAATTTTCTATACCGGCATAATTTTGATGACTCTATACCGGTATAATTTTGATGATAATTTTCTATACCGGTATAATTTTGATGACAATTTTCTATACCGGTATAATTTTGATGACAATTTTCTATACCGGCATAATTTTGATGACTCTATACCGGTATAATTTTGATGACAATTTTCTATACCGGTATAATTTTCATGACAATTTTCTACAATAATTACCATGCATTTCGTATATCATCCACAATAATTATTTATACGTACGTGATCTTACACGTAACATAATGTGAAAAGCCATAGACCGACATAATTTCCATAATAATTTCTGACATTTTTCTGAAAATTTCCATGACTTTCACTTAATATACATGATAACAAATTTTGCAAAAAACTTTTACAAGCAAATACTTACTATTTAATAAATGAAATATTAACTTTACCTTTTGATTTTGAGCATATCTTTTACTTAATATACATCTTATTACTTACATCGACCAATATGTTTGTTCATTGATAAATAACTCTACTTCCTTATCTCATCCATCCTAATTTATCTTATCAAATTCCATACTAAATCAGTTATCACTCTTATCAAATTCTAATTACTGTACTTAATTAATTTCTGTTTATCAAATTTCTACACTGAATTGTGTGACTAAAAATTAGCTAAAACATTTTGCCAGTCGAATATACCAGCTGCTATGTCATTTTATGAACAGTAAGCGCAAATAACAACAATGAAATAATATTTTTATTTGAAAATTAAAATTTAATTAAATTTAAATCAAATTCAAATAAAGCACACATTGCTATATTGTTGTTAAAACTTTTAAAATTTTTACAAAACAATAATTATTTATGTAAATTTATTATCTCTGATAATAAAATAATTTATCTTATTGAAAATTATTTATTTTACAGAAAGAGAGAGAGAGGGAGGGAAAGAGAAAGAGAGAGAGAGAGAGGTAAAGAAAAGAAAATAGATGAAATTATAGTTTTGTTCAGATTTATGGCCTAATACAGTTGGCAATATTTGGCTGGCAAATGGTAGCAATAAAATATGAAAAAGATCGTGCAGCAGATATAATCCTACCAAATTATCACGAATATGGTAGATTGGATATACCAACTTACTACCAAAGTTATTGGCAAAGTCCTGAAGAACGATTTTATATTGGTTTGTACTTAGTACGTTTAATCAATCATTGAAAATTTATCATTTTAATCAATTGACCACTGACCAGTAGCCAATGACCAATGGTCAACTGATTAAAATTTCTGGTTCTCCTCATTTCATCCTTATCATTCATTTTTCTTCCTTTTTTCTACCTTTTTTTTTACATTTCTACATTTATTTTTGTACTCATTTATCATTGGTTATTAATATGAATTAATTGATAAGTTTACTTATTGTATTTGTATATTTTGTTCCTTATAAAATTAATACCATTAAAATTTATTTAAATTGTCAATTAATTAAATCTTTATTTCAATTAATTTCAGGTTTATTTGTTATTCAAATATTATGCTTAATTACATCATTTTTTTTATTGTTTGCTTCTTGTTCACTCATTTATGGTGCTCACACTGTAAGTTATAACTTTTTTTTTTCAATCATTTCAAATTATTAATTTTCGTAAATTTTTTCAAATGTTTTAAGCAAATATTTCATTTATGATTATTATCTTACATTATTTGATCATAATATAACTTAGATTAGAAATTTTTGAAATATAAAAAATACAAAAGAAAATAAACAATTTTGATCAATTATTAAAAAAATTTCATTTTAGTATTGCTTGTTTATTTCTCGAGATTCAATGTACAATTAGCGCCATAATCTTAACTAATGTAGTAAGTGCGGAATCTATCAAATATCATAGATTAATCTTTTTGCAAATATTTTCTATCCTAAACTAATTAATTTTATTTTTAGTATTCACGATGTTTAATATGGCCATGGCTTCCATGTATGATAGCAAGTATAATTTGTACATTAGCATATTGTATTATGTGGTGGAGCGGTGATGTTCGAGACTATTGGCTTGTGCTTACAATTCTTGAAATGATTACTATATTCATTAATGTTTGCTCATTTTTTGTTTTTTTTTAAAAAAAAAATTACTTCAACTCAAAGCAAAATATTTATTGTTATTAATGAAACTCATCAAAAAAAGAAAAAAGAAAGAAAATGTTTAATAAAATTTAAAATTTAAATTTAATTTCAATTTGTTTATTGTTTAAAAAATTTTGAAATAATTTGTTGAGAAATCATTGATTCTATGAAAAAAAAAATCACTTATTGATAGATTGTAATTAATTTCAATAATTCATATCAATTTTTTCTTTTTTTGGCATTATTTCATGCATAAAATGATTTGATTATTAAATAATTTTGTTGAACCAAACAAATAATTTATTTAGTTCTATTAGAAAAAAAAAATTTTTAATTTATTTTTATGAGAATAAAACGAATGTAAGCTTTTTTTTTCCTTTTTTTTAGGTATATTGTGTATTTGTTGTATCATTGTTCTATCGTTATATTAGCAATAATAGTAGAAAAGAACGAACAACACATTATAGGCCAAAAATGTACGATGAATTCAAGAAAGATAATAATTATTATATCAACAATTATCTTCCTGGTTCGTTAAATTTCGGAGAATGTTTTAAAATTAAGAGAGAGGGAGAGAGAGAGGGAGGAAAAGTGATAAGAATTTGACATATAATTTGGTGACACTTTTAAATGACGGTGAGATTAAAAAGATCCAAGAAACTGATGACTAATCAGGTGATGACATAATGATGATGACGATGATAATGATTGATAATGATGGTGATGATGATGGATAATGATGATGATAGATAATGATGATAATGATGATGGCGATGATGATGAATGATGATGATGATAATACTTGATGATGATCGTGACGATGATAATGATGATTGGTAATGATGCTGAGGTGATGATGATAATGATAATGATGATAATGATTAGTGATGACGACTAATTATGACTATTATCCGAATATCATATTGAGATAAATAATTTTAGAAATCTAAGTATGATGTGCAATTGTAAATTAAAGCATTTAATTTTTTTTTTTTTTCGTTACAGAACTGGAACATCCTATAAAATCAGGTTATCGGAAAAATGATTCATTACGACGTGATCAGCATAATCGGCGACAAGATTATACGTTGGTGCAACAATCAGTTCCAACTACTCCAATGCAAACCCGAAAAACAACTTTTCCGGATGATTTAGTTTCTACATGGGTCAAAGAACAACAATCTCTAAGTATGATCTTCTAACAATATTTCATTCATTTCAAAATCTGGCAGAAAAAAAAAGTAGTGGTCGAAATTGATTAAAGAAAAATGAAATTTAATTTTAAACTAGTTACAGAAGACATACCAGATCATGCTAACAGTGAACCGATCACACAACAAAAACCAGAAGATATTTATTCATTGAAGGTAAATTCTTTTGAAATAATTAATGATTTGTTGGAAAGCAATTAACTTTAAAACACTTTTTTTTGATCAATTAAACAAATTAGATATTTAATCAATTAGATAAATTATTCAATCAAATTAGATTTCGATTGAATTTCTTACAAAAGAAGGATGACTACAAAGTTTTTTGTAAATTAAACAAAAAAAAAAATATTCTCAAATTAACTTTAAATTGAGACAAATTTATCATTGTAGCACTCATATTCTGTACCATCAATTAATGCGAAAATCACAGATGCTAAATGTTGTCATCGTCATCGACACAAGCATTGTCATCGTCATCATCGTCATCATCATCATCACCATCATCATCATCGTCGTAAACACCGGTGATTAATTTATCATAAACTGGAATTGTGAAATTTGTTAAATTAGCAAAATTTGCTACTACCTAATTCACTATTATTTCATTTCTTAGCTCGAAAATTAAAAAATTTCAAAAAAAAAAAAAGAAAATTAAAAAAGTTATACTCAAATGAAAAAAGAAAAATTAAAATTTCAAAAAGTTAATTACATCAGAAAAAGGAAGTGAAATAAACTATTTTACTAAAAGTTAAATTTGAATACTTTTGTAAAAAGTTTGTTTATTGTAGGTCAGATTCACGACGACGTGATGATGATGATCACGGTGATCACGGTGATCATCGAAGAAGTTCATCACGACATCGTTATCGTTTCCCTTCTCTAACAAGTAGTTCTGGATCAGTGAGCACTGATTACTCAGGTGATAACTATTTAATATTAGAGCACTGATTACTCAGGTGATAATTATTTAATATTATAAATAAAATCCTATTATTTTAAAAATTTTATAATCTATCTGAGATAACTTTTAGAGAAATAATTTATTGAAAAATAGTATCCTATAACTAACTACTAAAAAATAATTTTTTTTTTTAATTTATTAATAGATTTAAAATAAAGAGAGAACTGCACTTCATATTATGTTAAATCGTTTATCTCTTTCAATGCTCACCTTTGACCTTTTAAGATGATATTGATAGACAGGAAGATTTCTTGAATGTGCTAAAAAAAAAAACTAATAGCTTAATTAATTAATCAATAATTTTGCTTAATTTTGTAGTAGTTAGTAGCGTACGCTTATAAACCGTAATATGTTATATTTTAGGTTGAAGTTTAGAATTTAATATTTGCAGATAACTCATATCTTGTTAGACGTCGATCACGAAATCTTGAAGATAGCAGTACGACAACAGATGAACATAAAATATCTGAAGGTTATTATAGGTCATTGAAGACAAAATTTGAAAATAATCACGGTGATTCTCAGCGATTTAGAGATCATCGACACGGATCACGGAAATCAAAACGTAATCAGTATGATGAGAAGAAGTTAGCATTTCATTCTTATTTCAATTAAACATTTTAATTTGATCATTCCGTTCCGGTTACGACAAAAAATGAAAATAAACATATCATTTTTTAACATCAAATAGAGTTAATATTTGATTATAACACTACATTAATCTGTCGAATAACTATTCGAATAATTTTTCAAATTATAATCGATCGATTTTTCTCTCATTTCTTCTTTCCTTTGCAAATTGATTACATTTTATATTTGAAAAACAATGTATTATCTTACAATGAATTCACTTTTTTTTTTAAATTGAAATTTTTTTTTTTTTTTTTTTTTTTGATAATTTAATCCTTAATTTATAGAAATTCCGGTAACGCTTCACCAACTGTTGCAGTACAAACAGATTCTGTACTAGCACATTGGCCTTTAGATCCGCAAAAAGGATTAGCACTTCCGCAACAAATTATCATTCCACCATCAAACGGAAATATTGGCGCAGATGGTCGTCCACAACCGCAAACATATCAAATTAATTCTGAAATAAGAATTTCATATGATCAAAATGGTAGATCTCCAATATCACATGAGATTTCTGCTTTATCTAAGAAGGTCGAGAATGAACAACAACAATTTACTCCAGTATATCATCAATCTCGAGTTTGTTCCTTTTTTTTTTTTTTAAATATATTTTTAATTTTTTATCTGAAAATAAGATGAAAGTGTGTAGAAGTGAAATAATGTAAATAGCATTGTAGCATGTATAAAAGCTTTATGTGTTACATAGATTTTCGTTTGAAAATAGGTTCACATTTGAGTTGTTTCTTTTCAGACTTTGAAATTTTAAAAAGTATGAACACTTTAAAATTTTATAATTAATGTATTGAATTGTAAGAAAAAGCAACAATTTCAGTAGCTCAATCTCATTTTATATTCCTTTCTTTTTTATTATTTTCTACATAGTTTAATAAAATGAAATTAAAAAAAAAATTAAAATAAAATTTGATTCAAACTTTGATAGTTAAACTCATCCAATAAAACAAAAAGAAAAAAACAAGCAAGCAAGAAACATTTTAAATACTAAAGCATTTTTAAATTATGCTTGAATCAACTGAGAAATGATAGTAATTCTGGTATTAATATTATTACTTGTAATGAAATGAGTAAATTCTCAAAAATACGTATAATTTCAAATGAACTGACCTATAATAATCATTTTAAAAAATTCTGCATTAATTGCTTATTTAGCTTTCCTAATTCGAAGCTTTTTAAAAATCCCAAAAAAGCATTTCTACTTCTCATACAATAACTGTTTCTCATTTAAAATTTAATTTCAGCCTTACTCAGTCACTTCTATTGTATGAACACATAACTATTGCTATTTATTGTTTACATATATTTTAATATTTCATTTGTAAGTTTTCGTTTTTTTTTTTTGCTTTTCATTCTTAAATAATTCATTTCAAATAATATAACGGAATATTTTGGGAAAAAAGAGAAATGAAATGAAATTGGAGGAATATTTAAAATGAACATTTATTTGTAAACGTAAATGAAACGTGTAACGTGTATTTTCTCTTCAGCAAACTTCAATTGGCATTTAAATTGGAACACGTGATAAATAAGTGTGATAATTTGTGGTAAATAAATTTAACTTCCTATGACATTTATGTGTATAATTCTACCATTGTATTTTTGTGAATATTAAAAATTAGTATGAAATACTCAAATTCATTTCTATATTATTAATTTCAAAATTTTTGAAAACAAAATTACTTAATTTGGTAATGGAAAGAACATTTTAAAAGTTAAATCGGTCGGTGAGTGATAATGAATCAGTCAGTTCACATATATTGTATTATCATTGTTGTAAACATTGATTGTCATAATAATAAACATATATCTCTTAAATTGATAAGTTATTCTTATCAGACAAAATATTCATTCAACATGGATAGATAGTTGCTTTTCTTGGTTACTTACTTCTGATTAATTAATTACCTCTAATTAATTTAATTTATTAGAGAGAAAAAATTCAGTAACGATTGTAAATAATAGTTGGAGAATATATGATGAAAACAATGATTGATTAACGTGATTACGTGATTAGAGTGATAATTTTATTACGCATAAAAAAAATAATCTTGACGTTCTTCTAAATGCAATAAATAGTTGATCGATTGACTAATTGATTGATTGATTGAACGCAAAATTGTATTTTTAATTTTGAAATTAATTTTTAAAGGAAAATTTACTATACTATACACGTAAAGATTAAACAGATATCACGTATGCATATGGATTAGATAAATTACAAATTAGTGAAACGATTATAATATAAAAAAATTCTGCATGCTTTCTAGTCAACAAAAAAAAGAAAAAGAAAAACAGAATTGAACGAACCACGTGCGAGAATGACGTCGGTTAACGTTGATCCGTGTATTCAGACGACGCACGTTGTCAACGTGTGAAACGTTCAAAATTAGAACCGACCGATTCTAGGATGAGAATTGCATAGTGTCTCATTGGATTGTTAGAAAATGGAACGCATCTATTCGTGACTGTCTGCAAATCCGGGTGGCTCTACCGGAATGGATAACGGTATTAGTGTGTGTATGTGTGTACGGTTGGTACTGTAGCGGATTACTGTGAGTACGGTAGATACTGTAGGCTTCGAATACTGTGGGCATAAAATGATATTCGAAATGAATTATTTAAGTATGAACAAATAGGTAGCATTATGTAATGTTGATAATATTTTTTTCAATAGAATTAATTAACTTAATTAATGAATGGAATTAGATTCATGTATGTCATTAAATTGATAATTGTAAATAAAGTTTGAACGAATATGCTGCTAATTTGCATAAATTTATTTCATCAGGTTAATTGGCTTACACGAAAAAGAAGGCTATTTTATGAGATAATGTTGAATTTGAATTTACATTGGTGGCCACTTCTAATAAATTTAGTGATAATTATCAATGGAAAATTGGATGAAAAACATATGGATAAACACAATGAACAGCATCATCATTTTAATGTTAGTGATTTGAATGACGAAAAGCATAAAGCATATCATGATCACGATGATATATTCGGAGCGAAAATGTGTAAGACTTTTAATGCTTCCATTAAGCTACATTACTTTTTTTCACTTAAACTAAGCAAAAGAATCTTATAAGCGCTAATTTATTTTCCAAATCCAGTACTAATTAAAAAGATGTCGTACTATCATCTTTTTTTTTTTTTTTTTTTTTTTTTAGATATCGTTCATCTTTTTTTTTTGTATAATATGTTATGCTGTTTAAGCCGAATAAAATTTTGCATAAAGAAACTAAAAATTATAGATGCTAGCTGATATGTGTTAGCTGAAACATCAAATTATCCACTGTAGAAATTGATTAAATTTGCGGGTAATTAGCTTTGTTGGATTCATCGAAAAAATGATATCGTTATTAAAATTCATTTAGAAATATTAAAAATAATATTTTTTAGATAGAACGCTTTTTTCGGTGAAACGTCGTGAACATTTAAATGCAGTGAAAAGCTTAATGGCTTTGGATGAGAAGAAACGGGAGAAACTTCTTCTTGAACTAGTGCTTAACATCATTAAGGTTAACGTTGCTTAAATTTTGAAAAATCTATCATCTTACACATTAATGTTTTGCTTTATTCCGTGTGAGCTGAGTGAAACAGAATTGCGTCAATTAATTTGTTACCTTAAATTTTACAAATTTTGTTTGAATTAGATTCTTTTGCTTAGTTTAAGTTCTGGCGACACGTACAGACTGAAACTATTGGAATTAGCGACGAAAGTGAAGAAGAAATGTTTGTGAGATGAAGTTTGTTTTGTTTAGTTTTTTTAGAGTAGATTCTGAGCACTGAATAATTACCGAAATAAGGATTTTTCATAAGGTATTTTTTGGTGATTGTTTTTCGAAACTAATTACAAAGCTATGTTAGAGAATTTGTAATCTTGTGTAATGTGGAAAAATACAAAATTAACTATAGGTCATGGGTAATGCAAAAATTGTTATTGAAAAAGCCAACTTCAACCCAAATGACACATTCCCTAGTGAAGAACAGAGCAGTTTGAGGGATGCTATTGGCAATATTGTCGAAAATACAGCTTTTTACAGCAATTTGGTACTGTATTTTCCTACAGTACTGCTCGACAGGTAGAAATTAATTTACTTTGTTTTGCAGATTGTTATGCACATTCGATTTGCAAAATTTTGAATGTTTTTAACTTTTAATCTTTCTGTTATTTTAAAATCCTGATGTTTTAAAATTTATTTTGCTGTTTTAGTAAGAAAGGAAAAGAGAATAGCACTAGAAATTTATCTAGCTTTTCCAAATTTTTTAAAGATGATCGGCGTGGCGCACATTAGACGATATTTTAGATGCTTTTATTGGAAGTATACTGAGTGAAAGAGCTTTATCTTGCAGAACTGGTTTTTTGATTACACAGATGAAATTTTCTGAATTACCTTATGTTTTAATTGAAGTAGGATTTTTTTGAAATTTTATTTCACTTACCAACATATTTCAGATATAAAAAGGATATTGATTGGCAATTGCTCTTTGCTTGGGCTTATAAATTTACAATAACGTCACGATTGCATGATGACGTCGCGGAAAAATTGTTGGATTTGGCTGGACAACAGTTAGAAATCATTCCAAGGTTATTTGATTTTATTGTGTAGAAAATCTTCTTTTTCGAGCAAATGAAATAATTTGTGGAAATAATTTAGTTGTTGTGATTGAATAGTTGTTGCTTTACATCCATATGTTAAAACATCTGTTACAATATAATAATGAATGCTTAGTGCCATGTAACGTATACTGCAGGACAGTGGAATAGTTTGCAACAATCATAAAGACTTCGCCAACAGAAAAGTTGTTCTAAACTTTATTTTGTCTTGAAATTTTAGGCGAGATGATTTCCACAATCCGTATGATAGAAAAGCGATAAAGGAAGAATTGCAACTGGAATCATTACGGAAAATGGAAGAAGCGATAAGGAAAAAACAAGAACAAAAAAAATTGGACCGCAAAAAAAAGAAAACGAAGAAACCATCATTATCGAGGACTGAACTATAATCCTATTATTATCGTTTTGCTTTGTAAGCCCTTTGTTTTAATTCTTTTGAACTTATTTTTATGTTCTTAAAAGGTCTGCAGAAAATAAACACTGATAGAAATTTTTTTATTAAATATAAGTTTAAATTAGGATTCAGATTGTTTTCAGAAATGTCGGAAGAGAATGATCCACTTTTAGTCTTCTTCTCTATTATTGCACAACTGAGGCGCTTAAATTTGGATTTTTAAAATCAGAATGGATAAGAAGTTAGTTTTCTTTTAAATAAGGATTACTGGAATATCCAAATCTGTGTAAGCTTGTTTGTTTTTTCGTAGTTGTTTATTCGGGTTATTTGAACTTCGAGTATTGATTTATCTGGAAATTAGGGAATATAATGCAATATGAATATCTCGAATTCTCCGAACGAGACTAGGCTTAAAGTTCCGTCTTAATATTTTGTTAGTACTGCTCTTCATAAATTTATATGTTAATAAGTAGTGCAGTATATTTTTAGTAAATAATGTGGTTATATTTATCCGATTTTAATAGCTGAAATTAATTGTCCATAATTTTTCAAAACTAATCTGTAAGTATTCATAAAGTACTGTTCCTTCCTGTTCCCGATTATTATTATTTTTTTTTTAATTATAAAGTAAAGATAAAATGAGTGGAATGATGAAAATGTACTCTTTAATTGTTAGTTCATTGAGAATTCTTACTCTTTCAGCATAAAAATTGCTGATATTCATTGCTTTTCGTAAGAACTTTCTAACATTTTTGTGAATAGAATTCTTTGAATTTTGCTCATTCATTATTTTGTAAGTATGTTTGTTCATTTCTTATTTTTCTTTTTCTGTTATTTATTGATGATTTTTTTTTTCTGGTGATTATATGCAATTTTATGCACTTTCCATTTTTATTGTACAAATTGCTTCAAGATAGACACGAAAAGTGGATAATGTGGAGTAAAAAAGTTATGCAGGAATATTGAGTTTACAGTGTTTAAGGTAGATTTCTCAAACAAATATTGTAAAGGATAAGTGTGAGATAAGTTTAAATAAAAGAAATATAAAAAACGGAATAAAGTTTAGGAGTTTAGGATATGTTATTATACCGTTTCAAAAACAAGACATTTATTTTAAATTATGATGTAAGTGTTTAAATCATTCGAAATTTTTCAATGATATTGTATGTGTACATTTTATTTCATTTTATTACATCATGAGGCACACTTAATTTTGCCACTGTTATATCGTATTAATTTTTGTTTCGAAATACTATTAATGAGAAGTGAATTTTGTCGTTTTACTGGTACTATCACCGAATGAATGAATTCCTGTTCATTACTGATAGTTTCAAAGAAAATAAGGAATTTTCATATCCTTGAAGTTTTATTTGAATATATATATATTGTAGATGAAGCATATTTTCAGATGAATTAAATGTACTTTTATTTATATTGCTTTATTCAATAATGGCAGAATTTCCAGAACTAGGCAAAAATTGTTCGCTAGAAGCTTGTAAAAAACTCGGTTAGTTAATTACTATTGTTTTTCATTTTTTGAATTACGATAATTGTTATTCTGTAATTTTGACTTACAAAGTTTTTTAGAAAGAAAGTAAATCTCTATAGTAATAGCAGAATTCTAATTTGACATGTTTGAACCACTGATGAATTCAATTTTTCAGATTTCACACCTTTCTTTTGCAACATTTGCGAAAATTATTTCTGGTGTGTTTTTTTTTTCTTTGTTTAAATTTTTATAAGATTTTTGGTTTTGGTAATGTAGCATTTATTTAAAAATAATTGTATGAAAGATACACTAGCTTTCTTGTTAAAAGATTTTTGAAAGCGAAATTCGATTGAAATATATGATTATTATTCATTTAGCGATGGACATCGGTTCAATCATGGATGTCAGTTTAAAAATATGAATGTTGAACAATTAGCAGCAACTAGTTGTGACGGTAGTAAGCCATTAAAGTCATTTTTATGTTCAATGAATGGCTGTTTCACGTGTGAAATCATCAGAATTGATTGTCAGCGTTGTGGATTGAATTTCTGTCTGAAGTAAGTAAACATCAGAAGACCAGATTTAAAATTTTTTCTGTAGAAGGACAATGAGGAATACAATTGTTTGAATCTATTAAACCAATTTATAAAGTTTGTTTGCAAAACTATACTTATTCTTCAAATAACTATTTTCTTCCTATTATTAATGTATTTTGATTTTTTTTTTTTTCCATATTTCTATGGAAATCTTTTCATTAAAATTAATGCAGGCATCGTTATCCAGAAGAACATCAATGCAGTACTCAAACTGTTAAGAATAAACAAATTAACGATGGTTATCAGGAAGAATTGAAAGAAAAGTTGTCAATGATTATTGCTGCTGATAAAATGGACATTGCTGAAACAAGTATCATTTCTTCACCACCGCAGAAGGAGAAATCGGTTTATTTTTGTCTTCAATTAATACTTGCAATAATAAATTTGCGAATGCTACAACTTTACTGAAAGTTATGAATGTTTTAGGAAAACAGACCAAAATCTTTTATAAGCTTATTACTTCTTAACTAAAAAATTGTTTGATATTAAAAGAAGAAATGTTGTGATGGAGCATCTAATGTCGTTATAGTCATAATTAAAATTAAGGAAAATTTATGTTAAGAGTTTGAAGTTATTCCTTTTTGAAATTTATCGTTGTAGATGGATGAAGCGATGCAAAGAAGAGCTGATCGAATAGCAGTAATGCGTCTTAAATCAAATACTCGAAATTTTAGTGTAAACTTTTATGAATGAATGTTATAATTTTTCTTCGAAGTATACGTATGTATGTAACTTTTGTCTTCATATTTCATTCATTTTAACAAAATCATTGATTAATTTCTTCCATTAGAGCTTTCATGATGACAAACACGTTTTTATCGCAGAAGTAGCGTTATTCATTATGAATTTTATCGTAATTATTTTAATTAATTACAGATTAAGTTTTTGTTACAGATTCCACCTGCTGAGCAAATGTTTTTATTCGTTGTGGAAAATCAAAAGCGTGAGCCAGTTATGGTTTCCAAAGTATGTTTTATATAGAACTTTTTGATAGTGTTATTTTAAGTGTTATCTAAAGTCGTTATTTTAATTTTGTTTAATTAAGGAATCTGAACATATCAGAAATTCATATTTAATAACATCTTTGTCCGAATTTTTAACATAATGTTTCTCTAGACGTTGTTTTTAGCGCTGGACAATAGGACGTTGTCTTGATCAAATTACTAGGCATCATTCGATCTCGAATAACAATGCAACCTTTGGGACTAAAGTATCATTTTCGAGAATTTAAGCAAAATTTCTTGGAATTAGATGTAAGATGTGTAAGTTGAAGCTGAATATTAGCTCATTCCGTTTCTTTTAAGAAAAAGAATAGTTTTGTGTAATGTTCATATAATTAATAATAAATTAAAACTTGAAAGAAATTATTTTATGTAATGATCATATGATTAATAATAAATGAATCGTTTCATCTACTGTATTTTAGATACTACGATTGTATTGTGACACGGATTCAACTAATCCTTTACCGATGGATGGTAATGTCGAGAAATATTTGAAAGATTTTTCTAACGTTTTCTTCAAGAGAGATGAATGAAAGTTGTATGGTGTCTAAGTAAAACTATTTCGCAGGTGGACTTGGCTTACTGTCGTTAGACAAAAAAGATTGCTTTGAAAAATTGTTCAAGTCTACTGCATATCTCTGTCATAGATGTCTAATGAATAGTTTGGTGACATTTTATCAATCAGTAGCTGATTATATAAAAGTTTAGTTATTTTATATGGATAATATAAATTCGGGTCAATATGAAATGCTATTATGTTTGTTAAAAGATGATAAAAATGATTATGTCGCAATAAAATGGATGAATCCATTATTCACATATTTCTGTGAGTTCGTTCAACGTTATTTATAAATGATATTTTGAACTTGTAGAACATTTTGTTAAAATATAGATTAATGTAAAAAAAGAAGGGTTTTGGTATTTTAATGAAATTAGTACATTTCATTCAAATTGTGTGCTTAGTCTTGAGTATTAGTAACCATATTTGATTGTATATATATTCATGTATAGATGAGATATATCAGGTTACGTCTGATTTGATGTTGTATAAGACGTAAGTAACGCATGGTGTTATACTTGAATGTTACTGGTTTAGTTGATGATTTATAAAGTTAATGTCATGAGTGTTTTCTGTGGTAAAAGTTTACTTTGTCGTTCTAGTAATAAAGAAATTAGATTTAGATATATCGTATTTTAAATTATAAGTGTCTGTTTAGACACTGATAGAGTTAACCTTTAGGTAATGTTACGGATTCTTTGGTTTGATCAAGAAGTAAAACTTTGAGCTAATTTGAAATCTATTCATTTACAGGATGGTACCACTAATTAAATTATCTAGATGTTTTTATTCTTGTAATACTATTTCATCGGCTGCAATATTAGCTAGGCGATTTTCCTCAGCGCCAGATTTTGATGCATTAGCTCAAAAAATTCAGCAATGGAAGGAAAAGTCAAGCGTTGACAACAGCGATAATGATGAGATTTCATCTGCTGATAAAATAATTGAGAAAAGAGCATGGATGAGGTGAAGTTTATTAACAGTGTAAATTATGTGAAATTTATTGATAATCTAAATTCAGTTATGATATTATTTGTCTCTTTTGTTTAAATCATATATTTGTTTGAGTTATCAAAAATAATTCAAATCTTTGAGTTATATTTTAGTTTAAAATAATTTAAAAACATAGCAATTCAGGTTTTTAATTCTCAGTATGTTACAATATTTGCATGAGTTAAGTTTCGTATTGTTTTTAATGAGAATTATTCTAATTTGCAGTGCTCCATTGGTGTATTGCGATGGTTCATTTGACTGGACATTGAGAAAAGGTGGTATTGGAATATTTTGGAGTCCAAACGATGAACGTAATGCTCATCTTTCACTTACAGGATCGAAACTGACTAATATTAGGGCTGAAATACAAGCAGTTAGCTTGGCTGCTTTACAGGTTAGTGCATCATTTGCATGATTAGTTTTTTTTTTTCTGATATTTTGTCATAGTTTAATTCAGTTTCTTGTCTCATTTTTATAGCAATATAGTTTCTTTGTTATCTCTATATTTGATTTCTCCATTGTTTTCTTATTTTTCACACATGACAGCAATAGAATTATAAGAAAGTAATTTTTCATATGTTACTTTATTTTTTATTATTAAAAAAAAAAAAAGTTATTATTAAAATAACTATAAGAATTATGAAATTATTTGATTGTTGCGAATTTACTGTTTTTTTTTTTTTTTTTCAGGCTTGTTCTCTAAATTTTGATCGAGTCATTATCAAAACAGATTCGCAGTTTGTGGTGAAAGTGATTAACTCATGGTTATCCAGATGGCGTTCCAATGAATGGAAGAAAGCAGATGGAAAACAGATCGAAAATATGGATGATATCCAGAAACTTAGCCGTTATACTGAGATGATAAAAGTATGCTCAAATTTTTTTGTCGATTATTCACTTCCTGAGAACAGATTTCTAAACGATTCTTCCTTTTTCTTTTTTTTTTGGATGATTATGTGATACAATAAAGATAGAAATTAAAAAAGCAATGCTTGAGTTCCAGTAGTAAAATGGTTTTGCTCTTTTTTCATGTTTCTGTTCTCCTACTGTAATTTGATTTGAATTTTTATATTCTTGCAAATGGTCATTAAATATCAAATCTTTCTAGATGCGTGTAGAACATACATATGGACATCAAAAATACGATGAAAGGAAAGAATTGGAGGAGAGCTGGGATGCAATGTCATGTGATGAAAGAGATCGTTGTGGAAATTTTCATAGCGATCGGTTATCGAGATTAGCTGTTGATCAACCAATGATGACAGATGAACAGTTTGAGGAATTATGTAAAGCTAAACTTGACAAATGTTGTAGTTGATTTTTTCTTTTTGCATTGATAAATTCGTTTACAAAATTAACTTATGTACTTGTTTTTTAATTCCAAAAAGGAAAGAGAATTGGTTTTTTATCCTGGAAAGCTGAAAAACAGATTATCTTCTCCTATGTCTAACTTCATAGTCATTAACGATATCACTGAAGACTATGAAATGTGAAAATAAAAGATCAAAAAGCAGTTGACATACTATTTCCAGATGTGGAAATCTTACTAAAAATTGATATTCTCTGTCCATGATTTTTTGTTTTTTTTTTTGTTGTTTTTCATCCAATTGTTTTATATGGTAAAATATCGCAAGCGTTTAAGGTCTTCTCAGGACTTTATAATGCAAATGCTCATTTTTTATATAGATTTATATGTGGCAAAAAAAGATTTTTCGAAATAAAGAACGGTAATATTTTGCTATTGTTACAATAGGTATTTTAAATCATGTTCACCAGATGTCTGTTTTAATGCAGAATGTACTATCCAGTTGGATTTTCTTCAGCTGGATATAGATAATAACTATTTGCATAACACTATTCGCTATCCGTTTTTCTCAGCACTAATCTACCTGCAAGCTAGACAAAACAAGAATCAATACAAAACCGATAAGAAGAAAAGATTCGAAATGACACGACACATTCTCTGTTTCTTCGATAGATGCAATTTCTTTAAGCATCTGCTGCTGGAAGTTTTTAAAAGGATATGCTATTATGTCCAAGTTTCTAACGTATTAAATTTTTACGTAATACAAGTTACGTAAACTTATGTTATACCCTTATTACCACATATCAGACATATAATGCAAACTGTAAACAGAAGCATTATGTTTTATTATAAATTGCAGGATAATAATTCATTAAATAAACAATAATGACAATGACAAGGACTGATCTTCAAATTTCTGCATAACAACCAAGTTATATGGATTGTTCATCCCGAAACATTGGGCATAAAATGTAAGCTTAAACATTACTGTGCCATAAAATGTAGCCGCAAAAATAATTGAACTGAGAGTGAGTGAGAGAGAGGATATAATTTATTTGTCGGTAAGATCAGGTGAGAGTGATTCCATCATTTGATCAAGTTTCTGTTCAAGAATTGGTACAATTTCTTTGTCGACCAAAATATGTGTTTCGTCCAGCTCTTTCACCACAAACTTTGATCCTAACGTACGAGACTCATCGAGATACACTAGCAATTGACGCATTGCAGGATCACAACGTACCAATACACCTTTCTTCACATTCACCATTCTTCTTTCTTTAATCGTACTTTCTGCAAACTTTTGATAATTTGAATTTCCAAAAAAGAAAAAATCATTTAAATTATTAACAATAATTCCGTTTAATTAGAGCTAACAATATCTAACTGAATCGGAAAGAGAGTTAACCCAGCTAGCATCAGGTTAACCGGAAATGAAACTATGTAAAGGATATGAAGGATTTTTTTTTTTGCACTGTTTTGTTACACGGTGGTAGGGTAGATATTAAGCAGAAGGAGGAATACTTATGAATAAAACTGTTGTAGAAAACTGGATTTGAGATTTTTTATGGGTTATTTATGGTAAATTTCTAACAGTTATTTATGATAAAATTTAGTTTATATAATTATTTGTGATAAAATTTGGATTATTTGTGATAAATTTCTAACACTTATTTATGACAAAGTTTGGTTTATATAATTATTTGTGATAAAGTTTGGATCATTTATGATAAATTTCTAACACTTATTTATGATAAAATTTGATTTATATAGTTATTTGTGATAAAGTTTGGTTTATATAATTATTTGTGATAAATTTTCAACATTTATTTATGATATAATTTGATTTATATAATTATTTGTGATAAAATTTGGATTACTTGTGATAAAATTTGGTTTATATAATTATTTGTGATAAAGTTTGGATCATTTATGATAAATTTCTAACACTTATTTATGATAAAGTTTGATTTATATAGTTATTTGTGATAAAGTTTGGTTTATATAATTATGTTATTTGTGATAAATTTCCAACATTTATTTATGATATAATTTGATTTATATAATTGTTTGTGATAAAATTTGGATTACTTGTGATAAAATTTGGTTTATATAATTATTTGTGATAAATTTTGGATTGTATAATTATTTGTGATGAAATTTTGGATCATATTATTTATGATAAAATTTAGATTATTTGTGATAATTTTGTTCCTAAGACATTTTTGTATATTGGAGGAAAAGAAGGACAAAAAAAAAAAATTTTATTTTTCTGTAGTTCTATCCTTTCTCTGAAAGAAAAAATGATATATTTGTGATCATCCAGCGATATGACCACCCATATTTTTTAGCATTATAAAGATAAATAGTGAGCTCATATCTTCCAGAAATAATTACTTATCTAATTTACTAAATTTTTCCATTACTTTTGCTATTATTTATCATACTTGTTTAATACTTTTGAATGTTTGATATTTTCAAAAGCAATATGAATTGTTATTCCCACTTTTTTTTTTTTTTTTTTTTTTGCAACTATCGATAATTTGCATACGTTTTATTTTATGTATTAATTAACTTTTTTTGTGAGTTTATTTCTGAGATAATCATAGAACGATAGGATAGCCTTCGCAGTAATTCATGAAATATTGATTGAATGAATTTTGTTTTTACCCATTCATACTATCATTTCTTTTGGATTATTCATCCTCTCGCTAGGAATATGGTAAAAATATAGGAAATGGAGTAGACAGATAAAGCTTTTTATTTTTCTTTGTATTTTTAATTCTTTCATGATTGTAAATTGTACAAAGTTAGAAAAAATTAGATGAACAATATGAGGATTAAAATTTTCGAATTTCAGGAAAACACTTTATCAATGCCAATGGATATGGGAAAAGGAGAAGGTAAAAGGAATACTTCTTACTTGCTTTTTTTTTTTTTTTTTTCACGTGGTTAAAATAAAGGTTGAAATGCACCATTATGTGAATAAATGTGTTTCAAGTTGATAAACTTCAATTTTTTCAATTTCTACTCATTTTAAGCTACTTTTCTGTTTCACTAGAGATGCAGTTTAGTTGTCATCTTTATGTAATTTTTTGCAATTTGAAAATTTTTTAAATTCCAAATTTTAAAATTAATCTCTTTTGCATTATAAAATGTTGTGGACTTTTATTATGTGATAGGTTAATAAATAATAATGTCTAGTACCACAGTGTTTACTTTCTGTAAGATAAATGAAATTAAGTTATTCTTGGATTATGCCAGAGATTTATTTAATTCATTCATTCGGTTCAATTGATTCAGCTTCAATTATTTCATCTTAGGATGGCATTTTGGTATCATTTGATTTAAGAAATATTTCATTTTTAGTATAAGATGGAAAAAGAAAAGTGTGTCAGATTGCTTACTTTTATTAACTGTTTAGTGTTTGCTGTTATTTTAAAATTTAACAATTGTTAATCGAGATATTCGAGAACTGATTTCTCTCCTTATTTCATCTTAATAAGTATTTTTAGTATTTTTACTGTATTGATATGATCGTAAAACTGAAATTGATCGAATTTTAACAGTTAGTTATTCAAAAATTCAATGTTTGTGAAAAATGAATAAAGTTGAAATTGATGTGAAGATAGAATAATGAAAAAGTCATATTGAATTTAAGATATATGATGATGGATTATTTGAAAGATGACTTTTACATTATTAGCCATCTATTACAATAACTTTTCAAACATTTCACTTAATCTTTCATCTGTATTTTACTATTGATAATTTTATTTTCTCATCTATCTTAAACATCTCTTCTACCTGTTAATTACCATAAACATATGTTCTTTTCCAGTGATTCGAATACATTTCCTAATCATTCGCATTCCCTAATACTAAAATTATTATAATGAAAAAATTATTCACAAGCTATAGCTATCTATCAAAAATGAACTGTCATCATATTATGCAGCGATACTTTTCGCAAAATAATTTTAACGGTCAGTTAGGTTTCGCATTATTATTATTATAGTGTGATGACCTAACTGAGTAATACTAATGTCAACAAACTATTGTTTATCAGAGAATGATTTATTTAATTCACTATACTGCTAATATTTTTATTTTATTAATTCTAGATATTATGACAATTTTTTGTATCCATAATTATGATTAAAATAGTGGTTTATTAAATGATACCATAAAAAAATCTATCTAATCTGTTAATTCTTTTTTTTTTTTTTTTCATTCATTTGAGAATGATTTAGCAATAATGTTAATCTGATTTTTCTTTTTTAATTTTTACATTTAGTTAAATAAATGTATAAAGGATAAAATGTGTTATTTTTGAGGACATATCAATAAGCTGGAAAAAGGATGGACACCTGGTATACCATATGAAGTAAATGGAGATATACCACTTGTAATTTATACATCAAATTGTTCCAAACTTCGAGTTGCTATTGCTGAAACACCGGGACCGCTTGTTAAAGGCCTTATATCATTTGGTTAACTTTATTTTAACTTCAATATCAATTTATCAGTAATAAGTTGTTTATTGGTTAAAAAAAAATGTTGTAAACTATTTTATACTAAATGTTAATCGATTGTAATTCTTACCTACCAGACATACTTATTAAACTTTTTTTAACTGATTGAAAGAAAAGTTTACTTAATGGAATTTTTCAAAAAGAAAACTTGTCTGTTTGTCTGTATAGTCAGCATTGAAATGTTTGAAATGTTTAGTAACAGAAGCACTCGATAACAATGGTTTACCTCACACCTTGGAACATCTTATTTTTATGGGTAGTAAAAAATATCCATACAAAGGTGTTCTGGATTTGATTGCTAATCGATGTATGGCATCAGGGACGAATGCTTTTACTGCTCAAGATCATACTGCTTATGAATTAACTACGGTAAGCAATTTATTATCCTATTGAAATAGTCGAAAATGCTGATAAATAAATCTTTATTTTCAATTCATGAAGACAAATAGAGCAGTTGACAGAAAGGTTAGTGCGAAAAAGAGAATTTGTCTTAAGTTAATTGTATTTTTTTTAACTCTGTTTTGAGTTATTGTTATTTGCTTTAGAATGAGAGATAGATAAATCTTACTCCACAATAAATTACAATTAACAAATAATTTTCTGCTGAATAAAACGTTTTTTAGGTTGGCAGTGATGGATTCCTGAAAATTTTACCTATTTACATAGATCATTTGTTGTCGCCAACATTAACGGTTAGCCCATATGTAGTTTTGTTAATAAACTAAATATTAGTATTGTCATTCATTTGATTTTATCCTTTTTATCTTAGTCTAGTGTTACTTTTACAAAGATCTCATACTGATTCAATGTTGATTTTTGTGTTGTCACAAATTATAATTTTTTTTCGTTACAATGTGTAGAATTTTGTCTCTATATAATTGATTTGAAAATTCCCGTACACTTGTGATCTAAAATTGAGATTATTTTCCCGGACAAAAAGATGAATAACTGTCTGAACTAGACTTAGGCGTTTTCTTTTTATCTGGTAATTGATGAATACAAATCTTAGTTTAACAAAGCATGACGTTATATAGGATGCTCAATTTATGACAGAAGTCCATCATATCAATGGTAAAGGTGAAAACGCAGGAGTTGTTTATAGTGAAATGCAAGAGTACGAATCAGAAATGAGTAACATTGTAAGCTGGAAACGAAAAGAGCTTTTTTATCCGGAATGTAAGTTTTTTTTTTTTTCTTTTTCTTTAATAAAATGAACTGTCCAAATGTTGTCATTATTATGCCGTAACGAAATACTAAGATCATTTATACTTAATACTCAAAATTCTTAAATTATCACCTGCCACGCCAGTTAGACAAAGAGATATAATTATGACTTAATTATGAAGTATATTCTAGATAATCCATATCGTGTGGAAACAGGTGGACGTTTGGCTGCTTTACGTAAAACATGTAATATGGAAAAGATAAGACGATATCATCATGATTTTTATCATATTAGCAATATGTTTGTGACTGTTTGTGGATCTATTGATCATTCCAAATTGCTGCAAATTTTATCATCAATTGGTAGTTTAATTATGGATTCCTTCCTTCTTATTTTTTCTATGCAGGATAAATTGAAAATCATTGTTTCATAAATGAGAAACATTTATTTTACTTCCTGAATTCATTCGTTCTAATTTTTTTTTTCTCTATTGAAGAAGAAACATCACAACAACGAGTGCCACATCTATTCAATAAGCCATTCAGGAATACCATGCTGGTATTTACGGAATCACAAGAGAGACAAATTGTTTGTCCAAGTGAAGATGAAAAACTGGGTACAGTGGAGATTGCTTGGATAGGTCCTTCCAATAATGTTCGTTTTATAATATATCATTTTTTTTTTCAGTCAGTTAAATTACATTCTGTTTAAAATGGATCTTAGAATAATTGTTTTTTTTTTGCGGTTAATGAAGTTTCTTCCGAAGTTAAAACGATCGAAGTAAAAAAATTATAAACAATTCATTACTTCGACTTTTTGAAAGTCGTTGAGTATATCTGAATACTATGTAATAGTTAATAAACTGCTTGTACTCTGCATAAACCTACAAATCATTCTCTTACTTCGTAATTTTTCGTTTCATTTTCATTTCTCTTTGTCATGTAAATTAGTTATCAGGAATATATTTAGTATGAAGAATTGAGAAAACTGGAAGTGCTTGCAAATTACTTGAGTGATACTGCTGCTTCTCCACTGCAGCAAGATTTTGTACAATTGGATGAACAGTTGGCAAGTTCTGTACATTTTTATGTACGTGAGCAGTGCATTAGTGAAATAGTATTGTGTTTTAATGGAGTACCAGTTAATGAACTACCAAACATCAAAAGAAGGTAAGAAAAAAAAACTATCTCTTATTATCATTTTTTGCTATATATTGCAGTTAAAATTTCAGAGCTTCATTTTTACGTTGTTTTTTTTTTTTTTTTGTGAAAGATAGGCATATGTTTGCATGAGAGATTTTGAATAAATAAATCTTTAGATTCATAATCGTAGATAGGATGCTTTGCTGCATATTTGAATTAAAATGTTAAAATAGTTTTGTCATAATTAACAGGCACATTTTATCTTTTGAAATGTTATAGATTTAGTTGAAAGTTATAGATTTTTCGATAAAACTTTGCCAGAAACGTTTGAAAAGAATTTTGATCCAGAACGAATGGAGAATGTAATTACACACATGATGGATAAAGAGCTTTCAAAGGTATTTTATTATAAAAGTTATTGCTTTGTATATAGTCCTGAGTATTATCGTATTTCTCTCGATCATGAATGATTCTTTTTTATATGATTTTTTACACGTGATTACGTCAATGCACGTCATTTATTTATCATAATGAAGAGAAGATGTTTTGTTGATTAAATTAAAATGGTCGCATATGAGAGAAGATGCTTTTGCTATAATATTTTTTTCATTTTCTTGTTTACTGATTAATATAGTAATACGTATGCTAAATTATGTTAAAATAAATTTCAGATGGAAACAGACTGTCATAATGTTATTTTCGATATAATGTGCATGTATCAAATCTACGGAAAATTTAGGGAACTTACAATGCGATTAAATTATGTTACGGAATTGCGAAGGTTTTATTTTTCAGTGTTTCTTTTTTGCTTATTTATATTTCACTGATCTGAAAAGTTTGTGGATTGTAAGTAACTGATAGTGAATTGTATTGAGATTTCTACTGCAGAATGTTGGTAATGAAACCGGAGGATTGGATGAGATTATCACATCGGTATCTGATAAGAAAATGTGTCTGTGTAATGGGTTACCCTTCTCAAGCTGAAGTGACCAGAATTGCTACAACGGTTCGAAATACATGAAAACTTTGATATTTAACATAATTTTTTTTTATATTTTGGTTTTTGTATTTTTCTTAATATTATTTTTATATATTTTTTTAACACAATATAATTTTTATATTGTTAACTAAAAATACCACATTTGTATTAAAATTTTATATTAGTTGCATAATTTTTTCATGAAATGTGTGATACTGAGAATTTGTTGTTTTCATTTCAGGAAAAGAAACGAATTGAGGAACAGCGTAAAAAATTAGGGAAAGATGGACTTCGGCGATGTGCCGAGAAATTAGAAAAAGCATTACATGAAACAACGGTTTGTCTTTTATCATTTTCAATAATAGTGTTATTGTTCAGTATTAATAGATTGTCATATATACACAAGATTAAATAATATTTAGTTATTCAGCTTCTTTTGAAATGATTGAGATTTTGTAGAATACTTGTGATATTATAGCAAAATCCTGGATATCTCATCTTCATGTGGCAATGATTCTTGTGATATTTGAGTACTCTTATGTTTTTATACTTAAATACCTTTATTTATTTAAAAGATGGAAAAAGTTTCAGGCTCAAAAGCCACCGCCTGAATTACTTTCCGAAATGATGATACATGAATTAGAGAATTTTGCAACATTTAATGTGCAAACATTGCATGCGCGGACAGGTCAAAATGATAATGAAATATTTAAGTTACCATTGCCGGTTCTCATACATAGTGTCGAAACGCATTTTGTTAAGGTATACTCGTTCCTTTTTATTAAATCATAACAAATGTTCTTTGTATAATATTCTAACGTTAATAGGCGTTAATGGAATCAGATATAATGTTAAATTGAAATAGTTTTGCTGTGTATTACAATTTCATGAGATTGATTTAATTATATTCCTTTTATCACTGAAATAGCTAGTTGTTTTGCACTGTAATCGACTAATTTAATCGATCTTTTTCAGCTTATCTTAGTTTGGGATACAAAATTGATACCATTAGAATTACGACTATGGTTGATGCTTTATTTCGAATTAATATTCCAAAGCCCAGCTATTATAGATGATAGAGTGAGTGTTTGTTGTTTATCAATTTATTTTATCTGGTAGTAGTATTTTATTTGGAATCTGCTCTTGAACAGCAATCATTTTGGATTTTGTTTTGTGGTTTAGAAATTTTTTTGTGAAGTTTTCAATTGAAAGACGCAGTACTGAAGAAATTTTAGTGATTTTAGTGTCTGATGGAGTAACAGAATTGAATAGGGTGTGAATTTATATTGATGACAAAAAATTTATTCCATGTGTTGTGACAAACATTGCAAATATATTTGCTAAAGTTATTGAGAGATAAAGGAAGAAAAAAAAATAGAAACGGCAAGATTTGCTACATTTTATCACCTGTTACAATTCTTAGTCATCTTGATGACTAAATTTATTCAATTAATTAGATGTGCTATGAATATTTCCATCATGGTTTTGCATTGGCCTACATAAAAAACCTGTAATATCACTTGTCATACTATTTCTTTATTAATTTTCGAGTAATTCGAGCTGCTGTCTTTCAATGGAAATTTGAAGATATTCATCAAGATGCTAAAAGTTTGAAAGCATATATGTTTAGCTATAATTTAATGCTACTTAACTTCTACTGCTTTGTAATGGCATGATGAGATTATTTGTAGTGCTAGAATGCCCTTTTTTATTGTTTATTTTTTAGATGTGTACAGTTTTTTAATTTCATTTATTTTTAGAAATTATCATATGAGGAAATAGCAAATTTGTATACCCGGGATTTGGTATCATATTCTGCAAATATTGGTGTTTTAGATCATTTTGATCGATTTTGTTCACTTACCTTAAAAGTAAGCTAATGAACTAGACATCGAATTATTTGATAGGATTTCTTTATTTTGATGACTAACCTATTCTACAACATCTTTCAAAAATGGAAAAAATGATGGGAGAAATAGATGTAAAATAAAAAAGTTGGACTGAAAGAAAATGCTGGAGAAATTTTCAATAAAATTTCGAATTGCATTTAAATATTTTTAGACTGTTCCCGAACGATATGTGATTATGTTGTCATGGCTTACGACATTTGTGAGAGGAATTATCTTCGAGGCAGAACGTGTGAAAGTAACTGCTCAAAGTTTAATTGCTGACGCTGACGAAGAAAAACGAGATGGATGTGAAATGCAAAATGCGCTTCTTCATACTGCTCTATTCCACAAGGGTATGAGTTTTTGAAAGTTGAAATGTGAAAATTAAAACTGAAGATTACTTTTGATGAAGAGTTCATTTAATGAATTTTTCTTTTTTTTTGGTAAGAAATATATAAATTTCTCTTGAATTGAAATTTAATTCAGAAGAATATTCACTAACACTTCTTTGTTTTTCACAAATTGTTTGTAATTTTACAGATAGCAATTATATGTGTGGTTTAGTTCAGTTGGAGGAGTTTCATAAAAATGTACTCATGTTAACTAAAGAAAATCCTACCTACGTAAGTACTTCTTTATTCTTTGCTATGTTTGAACTTCTCGCATAAAAATTTTCAAACAAGCATTTTTGATTATTCGTGCAAAATCTGCTAAATCATTTACAAAAGCCAATGAAAATTTCAATATGTGACTATATTTGAAAAAGGGGTATTGAATGACTGACAATGTTAGTATGTTTTATCAAAAAATTCATTCTATTCTTTTATTTGTAGGTTATCGATAAATTGGAGAAATTGCGTGAAGCGTTAATGAATGCTCCGATAAATCTACATATTATTTGTAACACGGAGAAAATTATGCCTTTCTTACCGACTAGTTTTGCATGGCTGTATCGTGATCGTAAATTTAATTGTGAGCTTTCCAGAAATTTTCGAGTAAGCTAACTTTTTACATGTACCTACAAGAAAATATTTAAAATATGTTTATCATTACTAAAAAATCGTAATTACAAAAAGGAAAAATGAAACTCAGATCAATATTCTTTCATATTTTTCCAAGAATTCACATCATTGTTCTCAAGCTTATATATATACTCAGTGTGCAAAACTCTGCATGTTACTATGCACATAATACATCTGTGATTTGCAAACTGACTTTTTTTCTGCTAATTTTAGAATTTGCCTGGAGAATCGGTAATATATGATAACTTTGGAAAGCAACGTGTTATTGCTGTTGGCTCCACTGAATCATCCTTTCTAAAACAGGTATATTCATTTAATTCGTTATTTCTAAAGAATAGAAAATAAAATATCTATTTCGAAATTGAAATTGACTGAAAATTAGATTTCAATATTGAGAAAATATCGAGATGCAATATTTGAAATCAAAGTGTAAATTTAAGTTGGAGTTAGTAATCAAAGAATTTAATGTGTAGTGATGGAATCATAGATATGGTATAGTATGATTTTTTTCCTTATAAGAAGGATTGGCTGTCTGTATTTTTGAAGTTACCAGACTTAAATTGAATTTAAAGATTAATTATATTGATTATCATGTGATGGCTTGCAGTTTGAGATGTTAAAATCATGCTATTTTATCATTCCACAATGATTGAGAGTTATCAAAAAAGAATTTTTTTGACTTAAGTGATTTTTTTTTTTGAGAGAGAATAAATAATTGTTGAATATGTCGTATAAGTATTTTCTACCTAGCATAGCATATCTGATTGGAGCATTGTTAGCTAAGAACATTTAATCATCAAAAGTTAAGACATAATTAGATGAGATATATTTTAGTCTTGTGTTGCAGTTTTTAATTTTATTTCTGTTTTGTGATTAATTAAATAAACAGCTGTTTTGCATAATAAAGAAAATTTGTTACTAGGTTTATTGGACAGATAATGAGTAGTAGTGATTTGGCAAAAATTTATGAATATTTTGCAGTCTATACCATTCAAGTATCAACTGGGTAGCAAGGAAGGATTAGCTGTACAACTCATTGCTCAATATTTATCACAAATGGAAGGTACCTTGTTTAAAGCGATACGTGGAAATGGCTTAGCATATGGTGTGGATATTGAAGTAGATATGGATAATGAGCTGCTCAGTTTTAGCATCTATCGAAGTTCTCAACTCGAGCAAGCTTATGAAGAAGCTAAGAAAGTTGTGGTTAGAATTTTTTTGCTATTCAAAATTCAGAATTTTCATCTCAAAAAATTTTATCACTTAAATTTCATTCGTGCTTTATGATACTAACGGTACGACTTATTATTTAGTTCAATGAATTTGAACACGTGGATGAAGATGAGTTTGAAGCAGCGAAGCGAAGTCTTGTATCAAAAATAGTGCAAACCGAAGATACAGTAATTAATGCAGCACATCGAGCTATTTTCAATGAATTTCGAGAATTACCATCTCAGTTTTGGCGGTAAGCTATTTTAAGATTATCAGGTAGTGAACTATATTGTCAGTATTGTGAATATGTCAATAAGTTAAATATAGAGGCTGCTTCAGTTAGTGCTGAATAATAACGTTTATTTAGACCAAATTGAGGAAGAAAATTTATCATTGTTGAAAGAGATATCATTTCTTCTTTATCACTCGATTATGTAAAAATAGAAAATGTAGATGAATACTGAGGTGGATGATCTATAGGTGTATCGAAGCTTGATTTCCAGGGAAAAGGATTAAGAAGTTCTCATTTTTAAAGTTATTATTGTTGGCTATTATTTATAAGAGTAATAATGTTCTAGTATTTCTTGTATTAAATACTTCATATTTGTCAATTTAGTGAGTACGTTGAGCGTATCTGGAATGCATCAATGAAAGAAATGGTAGAATGCAGTAGAAATTTTGTCTTTGATTTATTCGATGATAAGAAATGCTGCCGTGCGATAGCTGTACCACACGGAAAATTGAAAGATATTGAAAAACATTTTGAAGGAATTGAAGTGGTCTGCTTTTCAGATCTACATATAAAAACTGCTTAACTTATAAATTTGCTGGCAATTCTTGTTTTCTGGTAGAGTTATTTAATCTGGGTTAATGAATTAGGAATAGCAAATTTCGAACCTTGTTATTTTTAACGAGGACTGAATATTATGTAGTCTGAATTGATATGATTCAAATGTATTTCACAAATAATTACTGCTGAGTTTTATCTCAATTCATTTGCTCGCCCATGTGAAAAGCTTATTCTTAATGACAAAAATTGCTGAAGAGCTCAAATATGATTTTAGTAAGCATCCAAGGTATTCCCAGTACTGTACATTTGTGCATGTGCACATTCTCGTTATTTTACCATTTTACAATGTGTAATATCATATCAAATTATGTTGCAGATTTTATCTTTTCAGTTTTCATTGAAAATTTCATTCTTAATAAGTCTTTCATATACCACAATTTACAAGTCAGGTTATTCTATTCTTCCACAATATTTCCTACAATTTTATACTAATTTCGATCTTTGCATGATAACTTCCACACAGAATCTCTTGCGATTCATTGGATCATCATTCTTCTCGATGATTCATTTGTGATATGGAAATTATCGACAAGTTTAAATACATTTTCTTGCTATTCTGCTTTCATTCGTTATTATTACTGGTGTTTTGTTGTTTCGGAATGTTTGCTCTTTTGTCTTAAATCAATAAAATCAATTGAACTGTTCAAAAAATTAATATATTCATAAGGATTTAATTTAAACCATTTTTAGTGAAACATCAAACATTACTCAATATTACCTACACAATAATAGATTAAAATTTGAATACAAGAAAAAAATATATTTATTTCTGCTTTATAATTAAACAACTGAGACAAAACATCAAAGCAAACTTGTTGACCTTTCCCCTTTAACCTTCACCTCGTCTTGTACTCAGCCACACGCAACAAGCACGAGTGGTCCGACAATTGCTGTAAGCTATTTCGCTGCTACAAACGCCAGGCTCTCGACATAGTGAATGTAATCGATACCGTATCCTTCCTCTTTCATACGTGAAGTAGCGTATGTGCGTGGAGCTTTGACGTGTTTGTGAGCTGTGTGCGACGTGAACTTTGAATTAGAATTGAATAAGTGGTGATTTTTTATAGATATATCATTCATAGCACATGATAAGGTTTAATTTGATCAGTGCAGTAAATTGAGTGACGTGAATTCTTCATGTAACATAGTGTAATATATCGGTTAAGTCGTAATATAGTGGTAGAAGTAATAATAGTCGTTGAGTTAAATCTCTCTGTTTGACGCAACAAATTGCATTATTTAATATCTAATTTAGTAGTAGCAAATGTATGTCTATCATATTTCTCTTCAATTATACTGCGTTTTAGTGTTAGGGAAATGATCACTTTTTTTTTTTTTTTTTTTTTTTTGTTTAGTTAAGCGTTCAGAATGAATTACTTAAATAAATTTACATAGTTATTATTAGTGCACTATGTAAAGTTAACATTATGTAAAGTTATGTGAATCACCATTTCCTAAGTGTGATATTTGTTCCATACCCTTCTGTGTTTTTTGTTTGACTAGCTATGAGGAAAAGGATATCATACATATAAATCAAAGTAGTATATAAAGTATGTCTAGTTAAATGTATCGAATTTCTTTGTAAGGGCTAGTGTTCTCAATTAGAAAAACTATTTGGCATACGTCTACGATCATTACCAGATCACGTTTGATGTGTAACAGCTGCAAATACTCTGCCCGTTCATTTCAGGTTTTGCCTCATATTTTATGCATCAAAAAACACCGAATAAATTCCGTACGATTTAAGGGAGGAAATTATCCAGTATAGGACTGATCCAAAAACAGTTGATCAGAGAGGAGATTTGTTTCTGGAAATGGAAATGTATGCCAATGGATTAATGGAGGAAAACGGTGGGACAGCTGTCACAGCAGTGGTAGCACCTGCAACCACTGCAGCAACGCTAGATCTTTCGGCGCAACAGAACAGTTTTATTTTCGGAGTTACAGATGATAAAGTATGACATTTCAATTGCTTTTAAATTATAAACAAAGGGAATGGAGGAGTTATGCCGTTCGTAGAATGGCAATGCATTGCAGAGGAATGATGTAAGCAGATAGAGGATATAATAATATGCTGGGAAGAAAAGAAGGCATAAAGCATGGTTACTTCTTAGCGTTCTTCAGCTTAGATATACATTTGTTACTCAGACTCTTTTGTTTACTACAGAAATTCTGAGAATATTTAGTTTTTTCTTTTAGATTTCGTAAAGAATGTTTATCTGTTGATGTATGAGTTTTTTATTCTGTTTCTTCGATTTAACGTTTCTGATAAAAATTCAAGAGTTTTTATGGAACTCTGCAATACATGTTTATATTGGAAAAGACGGTCTTTTTTTCTATAGACAATTGAGATACAATTCGACATTTGCCTCTAACTAGACATATGTTCCAGCAAAGTACTACTAATGTTATTATTAACTTTTTTCATGTCAAAGAAAACTTGAAGTATGCATGACTGTTTGTAATGCAAAAACAACCAATGAAAAATTATTACAGTCGGAAAGCCCACCGTCACTGAAGGAGGATAAGAATACAGGGGGTACTTCCACTGCGAATATAGCAGGAAATGAAATAAATTCGGCGCGATCGCCTAGCCCATTACTTGATGTTGGAGTAATACCAAGTGTTGACAGTTCTCTTTGTCCGTATTGTGGCAAGCAGTATAGAAAGGTAATGAAACTGTATATATTCTTCCCGTCCAAAGATATTTTTAAAATTTCTGAAATTTTTTGTTGTTTCGCAAGTAGTGAATAATGGACAATATCAATACGATGTGAAGTTTTCGAAAATTTAATTTCCGGAATTTACTTTTGTATTAAAAAATGAAAATTTGTTCTGCCAAACATTTGTGCAAATTAATATTTTCATCATTTGATTTTAAGTATAGATTCAGTTCTCATTTATGTTTCTGGTTTCTGGCGTTTATGTATGTCGATTTTAGCCGCGAGTATTGGATTGTCTTCATTCAATGTGTGAAGACTGCATAATAGCCCAGCTGGATGGACGGCGAGAGGGTGAATCAGAGCGTGCAAGAACCGTACTTACAATGGATTTCGAACTGGAAAGCACGTGTGAAATGAGGCCGACGCCACCGGGAGTCATTAGATGTCCGACATGCCATCAGGTTACTAAATTAGTCTTTCCATCGAGTAATTTTAGCATACAGTTGGTAAAATAACTTTTGTTTTGCTTTTGTTATTCTTTCCTAGTACATTTATTGAGTACTAAGAATCCTGAAAAGCTCAGATATTATCCGGATGCGATGCTAAATTACATAGTCTTCCATTATTTCCTCATCTTCATTATATATCTTTAAATATTTTTAAATGCGCTTAGTTCCTTATCTTTATTCGTCTTTTTTTCTCCCGTAGACTAATCCTTATTCAAATGTTTCAGGAAAGCCATGTAGGAAATGATGTCCGATTTGTGAATCATCTTTTGCTTGATTTTGTTCGCTTGCATGAAGTTGATGGTAGCGTTGGAAAAGGTGCACGTAGCTGTCGTGCATGTAAGAGTGAACAGCTTGCGATGGCTGTTTGCAAACAGTGCGCAAGTGACTTATGCAAGAATTGTTATCAAGCACATCGTGACATGAAATTATTCGATGGACATACGGTATGAACTGAGTTTCACTATGCAACTCAGTGTCCCTCATTTTCTGATGATAGGAAGTGATACAAATATTGTAATATGCGAGCTCTTTTTGACATATTTATAGGTCTAAGCAATACAAATATTTTTTATAACAGATGCTATGAATAGGTATTAACGTACACGGAATTGGCGCAGAATCCATTAGAATTGCCTCGTGATCCAGTTATGTGTGTATTGCATCCGCAAATGCCATATTCACTTCTCTGTGCCACTTGTGAATCACCGATTTGTGGACAATGCCATGCGGAGCATGCGGACATCAGACATCATAATTTGGTAAATATCGATGAAACAGTTGCTAATTTGGTCAGACTTGAACTGAAGGATATTGCGAATGGAGCGGAAGCCAAGGTTAGATGTGTGTATTAGCGATGGAAACTTATTTTGCAATTGCTAATTGTCAACTCTCCAGAAAGGATAGCCGGTTTACTGATCGACCAGAAATATTTGTCACTGTCGATACTGACTTCATTGTTTCTGTCTCTTTTTAAGCCATTACACTTTAAGACTAGATTGTGATTCATTGAACAACATTACTTAATTTTATATTTTACAGTCAAAAACTGTAGAAGCCGCATGTAATTCTGTGCCAGCTCGCCAACGCGTTCTTACTGAGCAATATGAAGCAATCAAAGCAGAAATAGATGATACCTTCAGTGATTATCACAAGGCATTGGATGCAATGAAGGAGCATTTGTTACATAAACTGGATAAATCACGTGATGACCAGGAAACCGATCTGAATAATCTAAATCGACGGGTTAATGTCACCACTGTAAAAATTGCTGATGCTGTCGCGTAAGTATATTGAATAAGACAATTTAGGAATGCTAGCTTAAGATTAAATTGAGGGCTTCATTAGAAACAGAACTCATGATCGAAAGATGTTGTAGGACTGGTCATTAGATGATTTTATTCAATCATTCTCCTATTTGATTCAAAGCGAATGATAATATGTTCTGCTTAAAATTGAAACACTTTGTATTATATTCTATCTTTACTCGACTGCTTATTATTTAGGATTGATTCAGTTTCTTTTGTCAAAAATTTGTTCATTTTTCTATATTGTCATAAAAAAAAAGAATGGATTACTTCAATGATATGTTACAGTTTTACACATCGGATTGTGGAAAAGGGTTCTGCAGTAGAAGTTTTGGTGAGTCGAAAGAAAATCCGTCAACAACTAACAGCTCTTACACGTAGTATGCCTGATATGAGTAGTACAACGGAACTTACATTCAACAAGACTCCATATGTCCAGTTTTACAACAAATTGAGCAGCATTGTTGGTGATATCAACAGTAAGTTTTG